GTGCTTCTGAAGGGAGTTTTTTTTTTTTTTTTTTTTTTTTTTTTTGAGACGGGTCTGCTCTGTCGCCCAGGCTGGAGTGCGTGGCAGATCTCGCTCACTGCAAGCTCCGCGCCTCCCGGGTTCAGCCATTCTCCTGCCTCAGCCTCCGAGTAGCTGGGACACAGGCCCCACCACCACGCCCAGCTATTTTTTGTATTTTAGTAGAGACAGGGTTTCACCGTGTTAGCCAGGATGGTCTCGCTGTCCTGACCTCGTGATTCGCCTGCCTCAGCCTCCCAAAGTGTTGGGATTACGGGCGTGAGCCACCACGCCCAGCCTCTGAGGGGTTTCTTAAGGGTGGTGTGTTTCTAGGATGAGTTACAATACCTTTTGTCCCCCAAGCAAAACTACTTTGCATATGTGCCACTCTGGTTCGGCCCTCGAGGCTGTAGCAGGGGCTCACACACGATATTTTTGTGGGGAGTCATTGCCATTTGCTTTGATTGAGACTTTTTGGAGGGCTTTGCTGTCAAAATTCTCACTGTGCCTGCACGGTCAGTAAACACCCTCCTCTAGCCTCCTTCCAGGCTTAAAACCAGTGTGGAAAAGTTTAGTCATGTGTTTGATGCAACTGCATCTCGTTTCTGTGGAAACCCAGGCTGCTACATAAACCTAATTCTATATTCCCCTGGCCTAACCCACCTTTCACTAGCGATTTTAAGGGAGATTTTCGCCTTCCCTGGGTATTAGCCTTTGACTTGCAGACACTAGTGTGGCTTTGTGGATTGTAGAATACCTGTATGCAAGAACTCATAAAACCACATCCAACACAGCCCTTTCATACACTGTGGTCTCTCCACACGGAGGCCCACTCAGCCAAGAAGACAAGCTCGGTTGAGTCCTTCTCCAAGGAGGACCAAGAGCACCAGAGAAGGGCCGGCCAGCAGCCCTGTGGTGAGAAGCACTCTGCTGGCACACTCAAGCTGCAAGGACCGTGTCATGATCCATGGGCAATGCCTGCCACAGACTTGGGGGCAGAGGCTGCAGAGGCATAGGTTCCCCCGAGTTAGACCCCATATGTCTACTTCAGAGCAAAGCAGTGTATTCAGTCTGTTATTTACATGGACTCCTAAAGCAAGATGGTAGCAGAAGTCACTTCTGACCCTCCTAGAGCGCAGGACCCTTCTAGAATCAGGTTCCTCGGGGCTTGGGCGCTGGTGTCTCATTCCTTTTATTTGGGTCAAGAAATGTGCTTCTCTTGAGCATTTGACACAGACCACGAAGAGTCAGCCCTGATAGGAAATGGGGGCTATTCTGCCTAGAGCAGGGGCAGAGCGGGTCTGATTTCCCTTCCCTGAAACTGAGGATGCTGGGAGGACTCATTAGGAATGTTTTCGTTGTTACTGCAAATGAAGGAACGGTGACTTGAATTAGTTTAGGCAAAGGTTGAGAGTAAATGGCAGTGATGCCCCACCAAAAAAATCCTGTGGAATCCCCTGCTACAGCCTCAGGGGCTGGACCAACAAGCACAAATACAAAGTCGCCTTGCCTGGCACAAAAGGTATTGTAAATCATTCTGGACATACGTCACCCTTAAGAAACCCTTCAAAAGCACAGGGGTAGTAATTTGGAGTCTTTGGAGCTTAAAGAAATAGTGTTACACTTTTCCGGCTCAAAACCTCCCATTCATTGGAGACTCAATGAAGAAAAACAGAGAACCTGGCATGGTGGGTGCCTGTAGACCCAGCTACTCAGGAGGCTGGGGCGGGAGGCCCTCTTGAGCCCAGGAGTTTGAACCCAGCCTGGGCAACATAGTGAGACTCAAGAAAGAGGAAGAAAGAAGGAAGGAAGGAAGGAAGGAAGGAAGGAAGGAAGGAAGGAAGGAAGGAAGGAAGGAAGGAAGGAAGGGAGGGAGGGAGGGAGAGGGAGGAAGGAAGGAAGGGAAGGAAGGAAGGGAGAAGGAGGGAAGGAAGGGAGGGAGGAAGGAAGGAAGGAAAGAAGGAAGGAAGGAGGGAAGGAGGGAGGGAAGGAAGGAAGGAAAGAAGGAAGGAAGGAAAGAGGGAGGGAGGGAGGGAAGAAGGAAGGAAGGAGGGAGGGAGGGAAGGAAGGAAGGAAGGAGGGAGGGAGGGAAGGAAGGAAAGAAGGAAGGAAGGAAGGAGGGAGGGAGGGAGGGAAGAAGGAAGGAAGGAAGGAAGGAAGGAAGGAAGGAAGGAAGGAAGGAGTGGGAATGGGGAGAGGAGTTGTGATGTTGCCTCGTGATGGGAGCGGAGATCTCAATGTGCCTCAAGAGAGGGTCAGGATGCAGTCAGGCCTCAGTGACCTCCGTTCTGGCAGGACTCTTCCACCATCTGCAGTCTAGTTCGCTCTGTCATTGGCTTCAGACACTCTGTCATTGGCTCTTCTAGATAGCCAACATGTCTCCATCAGCTCCTGAATCTCCAGTTCCCAATCAGGGGCACTGACTCCTTCCCTTCATTCCAACTCAGAAAAGTCCAGGGAGGGGTTCTCATTGGCCCGTCTTGGGCAAGGAAGGCCTCTGGACTGACCGCCATGGCCAGCGCTGAAGCGGTCTGGTTGTCCTGACTGGGGTTCAGTGCATACAGCTGGATCACATAGCTAGGGCAAGGGGCAGGTTTGAGGACCCGGACCTGCTTCTGGAGGCCCACCCCTAAGTATAAGGCCCTCTAGGAAAAGAGCAGAGTGACCACTGGTTACCCCTTACGGTGACCACCACCCCACAAGTCTGGACTGGGCATGGGAAGGGGTGGAGAAACCCTCAGCTTTAGAGTGGGTGAAAGGAGTCAAAACCATCAAAGTCCCAGTGGCCCAAGTAACGGGGATGTGTCCAAAACTCGGAGCCTAAGGCAGGGAGACTCAAACAAAGTAGCAGCAGGAGCAGTAATGATAGCAAAAACAGTGCCATTCATTGAGCATGCATCTTGTGCCAAGCACATAGAAAGCACTTTACACGTGCTATTTCCAATCCTTGCAGCAGCCCTGCATGGTGGGTGCTATCAGTCCCATTTTGCAGTAAGAAAATTAAACCTACAAACTTTATGAGACGCTTCTATAGCCTCGGAGCTAATAGATGCCAGAAATGGTGCTTCCATGAGGGACCTGGGAAAGGGATGAAGCAGGATGAAGACGGTTGCTCAGGAGGTCACTTAATGCTCCTGCAACTCCCTGTGGCAAAGGGACTCAGCGATAAATTGCCTTTTTTGGAGGGATTGTACAGGGTCTCTGCTGGGGGAGGGAGCTGTAAGAAAACAACAGCCCAGAGGGAGACTGTGTGCTGGACTGGACCTGGAAAGTTTGGTGAGGACCACAGGTTCTTGGATTGCCTGGGACTGTCGTGATTTCACCTGGTATTTCAACATATGTAATGATGGCACCCCTTTCATTCACAAAAACAGTGGTGTGCTGGTAAATGTATAAAATAGGGTCTCAAATATATATACACACACACACACACACGCATAATACAATAACACTTATTGCACATACATATACAATATGCAGTATATATTATTGTATTATGCATATATGCATATACATGTAGTATGTATATACTGTATCTATACATACAATGTGTGTGAATATATGTATATGTATACATATATGCAATATGTATTATTGTATTATGCATATGTGCATATACATATAGTATGTATATACTATATATACACTATATCTACACACACAGTATGTGTGTGTGGTGTATGTATATGCAATGAACTGAATGTTTCTGTCCCCCAAAATTCACATGTTGAAATCCTAACCCCCAAAGTTAGGAGATGAGGCCTTGGGGAGGTGATTAGGTCAATGAAGGTGGGGCCTTCACGAATGGGATTAATGCCCTTATAAGGGAAATCCTAGAGACTCCCTTGCCCTTTCTGCCACATGAGGACACAGAAAAGACACCGTGTGTGCACCAGGAAGCAGGCCCTCATGAGACAGAGACTCTGCTGGTGCCCTGATCCTGGGCTTGATTGCCGTCCTCTAGAACCGTGAGAAACACGTTTCTGTTGTTTCTAGGCCATGCAGTTTATGGTATTTTGTAATAGCAGCCTAAAGGGACTATGACAATATATACACACACCTATTTGAGATCAAGGCTGTGTAATACAAAATTTACAATCCATAACAAAATCTGTGTTATTCTTTAATGTAAATTTCACATAGCCATCGATTCTCATAGAATAAAATTCTGTGAAAATTTTTGGTTGATTTTTGCTAAAACCTTGTATTCTTAGTCAACCTGTGGTTGTAATTCAACCGTGATTTGTCAAATGGAGATGCACTCCAATCTGCTAATTCTTTTCCCAGTAAGTCTATTGTTGCTAACTCTGATATGTGCACTAACGTTAAACAATTGCTCATCCTCATGAAAATCATATTCATTAAACAGAAACCTCTTTCAGCTCCAGCACCACTCACTACAATCATGCTACCTGCACGGAGTTGCAGGAATCAGAGCATAATTTCAGTGTGTATTATTTACTAATGGATGCATTTAATAACTGGCCTGAGAAAATGTAGTGATCGGTTCATTGTGCATCACCATGAGCAGCCAGGACAACCATACTGCTGTAAGAGGGTCCTAGTTCTGCCAGTAAACCATTGGCTCACCCTACTTTTAGAAGCTCGAATCCATTCCCAGTAACTGCAGTGTTGGTGACCGTGACATCGTATTCTTCAGGCACCAGTCGAGGGGTGAGGTGGGGAACAGGGTCTATGGGGTGGGAGCCTGGCATCCTGTCTGTGACCTGGGCTCTGTGTAACCTGTGCTTGCAGACCTCTAAACTGCTCCTCATGGGTGAACAGACAGGGCCACTGAAGGACAGCGTAGGAGGGGCTGCCCCGGGAGCCACGTGGACTCTCTAATGGCTGCAGCCTCTCACCGTCTGAAAGCCAGGGAGAAGATGTTCTTACAACTTCCTGTACTTGGGAAGAATCTGAAGAGTCTGGCTCTACTTATAAAACCAAGTTTATTTCACATTTTTAGAAACCTCATGGTGCAGGGAAAATAATCAGAGAACAGGGGTTTGACTGCTAACTTGAACATTTGAGTGAGTAAGCTATTCAATCTCTAAATTTCCATGCCCAAATTTTGGCTATAAAATGGAAATAACAAGGACACATATACTTAAAGCATGCAATTATGCATTAAGTATCAATCAAGTTTTAGCTCATTAAAAATTGAATGAGAAAATATGCATGAGAGAATCCTTGAAAAGAACAAATGCAATTTACACTGTTTAAATTTACCAGTGTTCAAAAGTGGTGGCATCTGTCAGGACAATCCACAGAACTGCTGCTGAAGTTCCCACCAAAGCAACACCAGAGCAGCAAGAATTGGGTCTTTGTTATGCTTTGAAATTTCCTGTTCGGGATTAAGACAAAGAAAAGATGCAAACACTTGAGGAGGTTAAAAAAAATTCTCCAAAATTTCAGACAAAAAGCTTAATTTTTTCCAAGCTAATTTTTCCAGTTATTTTATTATTATTTTAGGAGGATGAGTAGTGTCAACACACGCCAGGCACAGTGGCTCATGCCAGCACTTTGGGAGGCCAAGGCAGGCAGTTCACTTGAAGTCAGCAGTTCGAGACCAGCTTGGCCAACATGGTAAAACTACTAAAAATACAAAAATTAGCCAGGCATGGTGGCACATGTCTGTAATCCCAACTACTTGGGAGGCTGAGGGAGATAATCACTTGAACCCGGAAGGAGGGGGTTGCAATGAGCCGAGATCACGCCACTGCACTCCAGCCTGGGTGACAGAGTGAGACCCTAAATAAAAAAATAAATAAATAAAGTAAATACTACTAATAATGTCAATATAAACTATTTCCATAATGCTAGTCACCTTTAGATTCCAAGATGATTTTTAATTCAACAAATTTTTGTTGAGCACGCCCTTTGCGTCCTCAACAGGCATGGTCCTAGACTCAGGGGATGCCTGACCTTGTAAAGTTCCAAGTAAGTAGCTCTTGAAAAACTGTGAATATGTAGATTTTTATGTAAATCAGTACTCAGTATCAGCATCTAATTTCCGGGTGCTCAGATGTAATTAATGCTGTCCGGCAAGCTGTAAAACGAACTGGCTGGTGAGGCAATAAGGAAGTGTCCCAGTGTGTGAGAGGAAAGGGCCCAGCCCCGCCTGCGCAGGGCTTCCGCTTGCACGAGTCTGCGTTCAATAACACAAAGCAACAGGAGAGGCGAGATTCTGAGGAGGATTCTGAAAACACAGTGCATTACACAAAAATGTGAAGCAAAAGATTGCATACATTTGGGTGGATGGTGGGAAGGTGGCGTTTGCTTGCTTGCTTTTATCTTAATTCTCCTTCCAAAATTGAATGTTTTCAGACTTCGCTTGACTACAGCTGCTAACAGAAAACTTAGGACCAGTTACTTTTTTTTTTTTGAGATGGAGTCTTGCTCTGTTACCAGGGCTGGAGTATAGTGGCACCATCTCAGCTCATTGCAGCCTCTGCTTCCCGGGTTCAAGTGATTCTCGTGCCTCGGCCTCCCAAGTAGCTGGGATTACAGGCGTGCGCCACCACACCTCGCTAATTTTTGTATTTTTAGTAGAGATGGGGTTTCACTATTTTGGCCAGGCTGGTCTGCAACTCCTGTCCACAAGTGATCTGCCTGCCTCAACCTCCCAAAGTGCTGGGATTCCAGGCGTGAGCCACCGCGCCCGGCCCAGTTACTTTCTTTAATTAACAACATAATATTGATGGTCCATAACAAGCCGATAAAAGCAAAAAGACGCCTTGACATTCCACAGATCATAGCTCAATTTGAAACAAATGAAAAACATTTAAATGTAAATTAATTTGGTATGTTTATAATTATTGTCTAAGTAGATGAACAAGCCATATTTCAGATATATTTCTCATCAATCAGACGACTACAAGAAAGTCTCTTACTCACCTACTTTTGGGGAGGTTTTTTTTTCAAGGACGGTAAATCCTCACCTAACATCATGAATAGGTTCTTGGAAACGGCGACTTTCAAAAGTACGAATATAGACAAGATTTATGTACAGGTATGTTCACATCAGTGCTATCCATTAGAGAAGAAATATTGGTTATAAAATTATGTTTGTCAATAGATTTAAATATTAGGAAGCCATTAAATGTCATATTTTCAAATGGTAATATCTAGGGATTCTACAATATAATGTTTACAAAAATAAACAGGATACAAAACTGTGTTTATAATACAATAAATAGTGTTCTATGCAAGATACATATAATGTATTTATTACATATAGTATTTTATTAATATATAGCATATTATTAATATATATTATAAATACATACACATATATAGAAAAAAAGCTGGAAGGAAATACACTCGAAATACTAACAGTAGTTTTCTCTAGGTGGTGGGATTACTGGGGTTTTTATATTCTTCCATTTGCTTTCCGTTTTACCAGTTTTTCCACATGAGCCTGAAGATCTGCCAAAAAGGAAAGAATATGTTGGCCCGGCTGACCCAAGTTTTGTGGTTTCTATGACAATTATACTTCTAATTCTAAAATAATAAACTGACATCATTTTTAACATCTTAGATATTTTAGCGCAATAAGTAATATGTTCATAATGAAAAATTTGGCAAGTACAGAAAAGTCAAAAGAATCAGGGAGAGAGCTGTGCAAATTTCCACCAGTCAGAAGGAAAGTCTGATATTAACATCCCACAGTTGTCTGAGTCAGGGCTTTCTAGCTACGCCATGGGGTATGTTTGCCATGAAAGTGCCTCATGAGCTGCCACCAGGGAGGCTGAGGACTGGCTGGGTCATGCAGTCTGGGTGAGATGCCACAACAGAAACTGTCCCCCCACCACCAACCAACTTGAATCAATCCCCTTGTACATAATTAGAGTTTCACGTAACAACTCACCTGAAGAAAGGCTCCATCCATGGCAAAACTAATAAAAGCAACCTTGGTTACCACATCTTAAGCCTCTTCCCTAAAGCTAAACATTTAGCTTGCTTCCAGTTTTCCTAACCACAGACTGGAAGCCAGAGTGAATGTCTTTGTGTAGTCATCTTTGCTCACATTCTGCCTCTGTGATTGAAATTTCAAGAAAAAAGTAACCATCATTTTCGAAGCTCTTGATATTTTCAAACTGCCCACACAAAAATCAACCTGTTTACACCCCATCGACTTGCCCATCTAACCAAACCTTGCATGCATTGAGCATCATTTCAAACAATCTTTAATTTGATAGATTTAAAATGGAGTCCCTCGTTGTGCCTGTCACATTTTAAGGAATGTGTGCCCCTTGGGGATCTCTTCCAAGAACCCTTCGGCCAGTACAAGCTGCCATCCCTCCAGCCCCTAGGTAGAGGACATGGCACCTCCCCACTAAAATGATGCTGGAGTTCTCCAAGTGGACTTGTGCTTGGGTTTTCTTCTCACTAGGCTCCCAGGCAACCACATGATTGAACTCACAGCAGCCCAGGCTGTGGAATAAGCCCCCAGGAAAAATGGAAGAAGCCAGGGTCTAACATACCCCCTTCCCAAATACTCTAGAGCTAGCCTCTCAGAACGGGAAGGTGTCCTGGAGAACAATCGTTCTTTGAGGCCTTTGGCTGCATACATAACGGCTTTGAGCCCTGGACCAGAAAAAACTCTATCAGTTAATGATACAGCCGGGATCCAAACCTGGTGTCCTGGGAGTCTAAGCCCGGCGACTTCCCCACTACTGGCCTCCAACCTGGGAGACGTCAAACGCAGCAGAAGCGAGTCCTGACCCATCACCCTTCTGTCTGATCACAGACCCTCCACGTAGGGCCCGTCAGCATCATCGATATCTAATAACAATAAACAAGGCTTCTTGACCGAGGGGGCGAGCGGAGACTGAAATCTACCTCGAAGACAGGGCTACAATATAAAAGCAGAAAGAAAACAAACTGGGAGAGATGCTCCCCAAGCCAGAAGAGCTCTCAGAACTCAATTTTAGAAGTCAGCATGCGAATGGCCACAAGGGGGAGCGCTATTTTCAAAAGATAGAAACCACAGTCCTAATCCCGGCGCCCCAACCGGCTTTCAGCTGAAACGGCTTTAGCTTTAGAACATCAAAGGGCTTGTTGCAAAGATTTGCTCACCAAATCCACTGACTCCCATTCAGATTTTGTGCCAACCTACAGTCTACAGCTTGTAGTCACTAGGAGCTAAAGCTTTCAATTTTTGTCCCTAGATTATTGTTTTAAAAGTAAATATGGTACAATGGAGAAATACATACATGTGTGACACGTATACACATATGATAATACATAATGTGTATATATGTAACTTAAAACAAAAACACAAGTTAAAAAATGTGTATTATCAGCAACAGAATTTTAAATATATTTTAAACATATACAGTATATATTTAATATATACCATGAAATAGAATATAAAACATTTTAATGTTTTAATATAAAATTATATATAGTACATATATAAATATTTTTAAGTATATAAAATATATATTTATTGTATTTATATATAATTGTTTATATTATATGTTTAAAATTCTTTCTCTTGAGTGATAAATCCATGCTTGAAAACTCAAATTATATTTAAAACACCCATTAAATATATTATTTATTATATGTATATGTACAGTAATATACTAAATGTATTTTTATATATGATAATGATTTAAAGTACTTATTTAAAATTCTCTGTTGCTGAGTGAGAAACACATGCTTCGTAACTTCTCATTATAATCCCCAAAACCCTGAAAGAAACAGAATAACCTTTTTATTGACCCACTCGAGTGATTTAATTTTTATGTTTCACTAGCCCATATCTGTTCACATATAGCTGAAAATAAAAAAGAAACAGTGGATTAAAATGGAAGGGAAACAGACAGTAGCTGTTGTTTCTAGCTTAATTAGGAGAGAAAGCCAGAGTAAAATTGGAGAGTCTATTGCAGCTAAGAGGAAGAAATTCTTTAGTCACAACCAAACATGTAAATATAACATCTCTCTTCTAATATTCTTAGTGCTAAATCCTAGTATAGAGCTGACTAAGGCAAGGGCGAAGCACATATTTAATGGCCATTATTATGCTACTCTGAGGAAAATTCTCTCAGTGTCTAATATTTTTTAAATTGGGTTTTAATTAGATCTTATCAGCAACCCTAAAATGCAATGTTTCTCACCCCCCAGAAGGAAACAAAACAAAACAAAACTCACACCATCCCCAAAACGAGGCTTAATGAATAACCACATGGAAACTATGGAAAGATGTTTCATTAACTACATGGCAGATAGAACTAGGTGGGAGGAAAACCTGCCACGGCTTCTCTTAAGGGCATATTCAGGCTTTACTTCAGAAAAGGGAAAGCATCTGAAAAGATGGGAAGAATTTCTCACCACCCTGCAAGCAGCTGTCTCCTCCCAGTACCCAGGACCTGAACTCGGAAACTACCAGCAACACACACGTGAGTCATTCTTCGTGCTATGCAGTTACCCTTAGTGCTGTCCACCCCTCGTCCCATCCTTCTTTTAATCTATATTCATTCAGAGACAAGAGCTTAAAAAGCAAGCAAAGAAAAACCACCTGCGCAGAAAGTAGAAGAAACTGCTGTTGCCTCATCGCGTCATAGGAAAAACAGTGCACGTGAGCAAAGCTGTCTCAGTAAGAGAGAGTACGAAAGAAACACGCACAGCAGCATGTTAGAAATTGAAGTTTCTCGTGCCCTCCTTGGACTCAGAATACAATACCAGAGAACAATCAGATAGGGCAGGAGAAGTTAGAAGTTTGGGGAAATAGAGCTTCCATAGGCAACTGTGAGGAATCAGGAACAGGCTGGGAGCGGGCACTGCCCGCCTGTCCTCCACCAAGAGCACTAGGATAGGACTCCGCACACGAGGACCAGACCTCGACGATGAGCTCACCCTTGCTCTTAACAAGCACTGGCTCTCTACAGATGTCACTTCCTTTAAGGATGAGTAAATAAAGGAGGAAAAATTATGGGGTGGGGCGGGGCCTGGGGGGTAATTTTTTAAAGCTACAGAAAATAGGAAAGAGACTTCATCTCAATGGTTTAGAAGACGTTAGAAGACTCTAAAAATAATCTACAGGAGGACCCAAGAGATCCAACACCCTGGAATCCTCTTACAGGATATCAAAAGGTATAACCTATATTAAACAAACAAGAAACCATAAGGAATAAGTGAAGATGAAAATTACTGATATGTGATGAACCAATGCTTTTAACAAATATTTATTAAGAACCCATTATGAAGACCTGGCCTAGTGGCTCACGCCTGCAATCCCAGCACTTTAGGAGGCCGAGGCAAGTGAATCACTTGAGGTCAGGAGTTCGAGACCAGCCTGGCCAACATGGTGAAATGCTGTCTCTACTAATAATAGAAAAATTAGCTGGATGCGGTGGTACATGCCTGTAATCGTAGCTACTTGGGAGGCTGAGGCACAAGAATCACTTGAACCCGGGAGTTGGAGCTTGCAGTGAGCCGAGATCACACCAGTGCACTCCAGCCTGGGCAACAGAGCCAGACGCCATCTCAAAAAAAAAAAGGAGAACCCATTATGAGGCACTGGGCTGGGGTGGAGAATCCGGAGACGGGCAGAATGGACAAGATGCCACCTTTGAGGCAGTTTACACTTTGGTGAGGTTCACAGATGATGTACTAATAAATAAATAATTCGTAATGAGAATTGCTATTAAGGAATCAATTGGGGGCGGGTAGTACCTACTTAGATAAAATAGGCAGGAAAGGCTTCTGTAGTATGTCATCTGAGCCCGATATGGAAAGCAAGTAATGCGTGTTCCCAGCAGAGGAAGCAAATTGCTTTAAGGTGAGAAAGAGCTCCGCATGCCTGAAGCACTGAAAAAAGACCCAGTGCCTGGTAAATGGCACAGCTGAATTTGGAGACATAGGCAGTGTCAGCTCATGCAGAAGCTTCACAGCTGGGAAAAGTGCTTTGAATTCTTAGTACAAAAGAAAGCCAATGCGAGTGTGAGTGTGTGTGTATTCAGTATATATATGTGTGTGTGTGTGTATGCACATGTATACATCTGTACACACATACACATGCATACAGTTGACCCTTGAACAGGTGCCAACCCCCACCCGACAGATGAAAATTCGCCCATAAGTTTTGACTTTCCTAAATGTAACTCTTGTTGACCAAAAGCCTCAAGTACTATTGAGCCTCCTGTTGACTGAAAGCCTTACTGATAACATAAACAGTTGATTAACTCATAGTTTGTGTGTTATATGCATTATATACTGTATTCTTACAATAAAGTAAGCCAGAGAAAAGAAAATGTTATGGAGAAAATTTAAGGAGGAGGAGGAGGAGGGGGGCTGGGTCTTGGGATTTCAGGGGTGGTAGAGGCAGAAGAATATCCATGTGTAAGTGGACCTGAATAGTTCAAACCCATGTTGTTTGAGGGTCAACTGTGCATACACATGTTTAAATGTCTGCATAGACATCAATAACTCCAACTACTGCATAGAGAACAGACTAGGAGGAGCAATGGGGGGCAGGGCGAAAAGAAGGGTGAGATGGTGGCCCCGTGAACTGAAGTGATGGCAGTAAAGATGGAGACAAAAATGACCTTGAGAGAAATATTCTGGAGGTTGAAGCAACCACAGCCATGGATGGACGAGAGGAAGGCATAAGAGGCAGCAAGACATTGGGTGTGATTTGGGTTTCTGGCTTGAGCAGCATGGCAGAGACTATCAAAGATGGTCAGAGAGGCTCACAACACCATAGCGAAACCGAAACCTCATTACAGGCAGCGAAGGCAGAACTGCAGTTGCAGAAAACAGAACTACGATGCTGAGGGCAAACCAGAGAGTCCCCACCACACAGGGAAACAGGAACGGAGATGACGGTGGTGAGAAAGAAGATGGCAGAGAATGCAAAGATGCCTTGTGAACCAGATTGGCATTTCTGAAAAAGAAACCAGAGTAACTGAAGAAAAACAACAGTCGGAAATATACATGCAGTTCCCAGAAATGAACACCTGCGTCTAAAATTGTCCACCCTTTGCCAAGGAAAATTAGAATCCAAAATATGACTATTTCATCCAGAAATGCTTGAATTTCCTAAATGAATAATCAAAAAACAGTTTTAACGTATCCGTAGAGAAGAAAGCAAAGTCAGTGTGGCACTTACCAGGAGACAATGGAACTGTGTCTGTATTTTGAAGCTTAACAAGTATGACTCATGAATTCTACAGCAAGCCAATCTTGTTACTCATGTGAGCAGGCAACAAAAAGATATTGTCACATCTGCAAGAACTAAGAAAATGTACCATCTACGTGTCCTTACCCAACTCTGTCTAACAAGGGCGACTCCAGAACAAGGTTATGACATAAAAGGAGTCGGTAAGAATATCTTAGATTTAATTAGAGAAATAAGTCAAAAAAATTTTTAAAGAGACTTTAAGCAAATGAAATGTAAATAATACTAAAAAAATTATACAGTGTAAAAATATAACATATGACTAATAAAAATTATATCAAAAATCTGGAATAGCTACAAAATTGGAAAAATGGATGAAAAATTTTGATAGTAAGTGAAGATATTTGGTTTGTTTTGCATAACTGCATAATTGCTATGGAGAAAATGAGTGGGGTGATGGTTTGAGAACAACAGGGGGACCTACTTAAATAAATAAGGTCTGGGAAGGTCTCTCTAAATAACTGCACGTTCCTGACTCTCGTGGGTGGAGCTGAGGTTCTCTGAAAGACGGATAAACCATTTACACATAGATCCAAAAGTATTTAATTAGGTCCAGTACTGATACAGTTGGGCTGAATCAAATACCAATATTGATCTGGAAATTAAAAGCGGGCTATCCCTTCATTCAGCTTTAGGTGATACACAGGTAGCCACAGAAGATAGAGCAGGCAGCTCCTGTATCTCATAGTAAGATAGGGGAACGTTTAGGGACTATTTACAAAACTGTTAGCATATAACGCAGTTAAGTCGATACTTATTCTGTATCTTGTTGTCACAAAGCCGAACAAAATACCTGCATACAAAGCAGGGCAAAGAGCTTTCCTATGTGTTGAAAAGTTTGTTTTCATAATTTCAAGGGCAGCTGGACTATAGCCATTACACCAGGAGTATTTATTATAAGAAATTAGATTAGTTAAATTTTTTTTGTTGTAGAACATTGTTTGTTCACCTAAACCTACAAACAATGGTAAGTGCAATATCCACTTAGGTCAGGAGTTG